CCCGTGTCCCGTGCATCGGCAGGCAGACTCTCAACCACTGCGCCACCAGGGAAGCCCCTATTACTTTTTTTTAACCTACCATTATATATGTATATATATATATATTTTTTTTTCTTTTTCTTTTTTTGGCTGCACCTCGTGGCTTGTGGGCTCTTAGTTCCCGCCCTTGGCAGTGAAAGCACAGAGTCCCAACCACTGGACTACCAGGGAATTCCCGACACCATTACTTCTAAGTTTCTACCTCCAAACCAGTTAGTATAGGGCTGAATACAATGGTGAATCCTCAGTAGACATTTGTTAGAAGAATGAAAACTGAGGCTTAAAGACAGGCAGGCATCTGCCTAGAGTTATCCAAATATGAATTCAGTAGTGGAATCCAGAAGGACTATTTGCATAAGAGGGCTCTGCCACCACTTCCGGCCTCCTCCTCCCCCACACCGTGCATCTCCCTGAGCCCTGGAAGTAACTGTGTTACCTATATCATATCCCTTTTTTCCCTCCTGGGAAATCCTCTTTCTGTGCTCTGAATAATATTAAAAATAACTCTTCTAGCCCTTCTTCCTCCTTCCAGCTGCCCAGAGAACCCGGCTGGCAAACTTCCTTGTTCACCTCCACTCAGGAGCCAGAACCAGGCATGTGTCCCCAGCTAAACCCCTGACTCCAATTCCGCAGGTTACCAAAAGCTATTTTGGGCATTGGAGGCCATGTGTTCCCCTTCTCCCCATCCTCTGGACCATATACTAGCTTAGCCCTTCCTGGAAGGTCCATCATACCCACTAGCCAAGTCAGCATATCCCAACACCCATATCCATCAGATCCCCAACTACCTTCAGTTTCTACTTCTTCAGCCTCATCTTCATCATCATCATCAAACATTGTGTCTGTTCCCATGTGCTCCTCTGCTTGAGCATCCTTTTTTTTTTTTTTTTCCCATAGAAAACAAAACCAATAGGGGGCTTCCCTGGTGTTGCAGTGGTTAAGAATCTGCCTGCCGATGCAGGGGACACGGACGGGTTCGAGCCCTGGTACTGGAAGATCCCACATGCCGCGGAGCAACTAAGCCCGTGGGCCACAACTACTGAGCCTGCACTCTAGAGCCTGTGAACCACAACTACTGAAGCCTGCGCACCTAGAGCCCGTGCTCCGCAACAAGAGAAGCCACCAAGATGAGAAGCCTGCGCACCGCAACGAAGAGTAGCCCCCGCTCTCCACAACTAGAGAAAAGCCCGCACTCAGCAATGAAGACCCGATGCAGCCAAAAATAAATAAATAAATTTATAAAAAACACAAAAATCAAAAAACCAATATACAGTTCTGTGTTGGAGGACTCTGCCTAACAAGGAGTTTAAAATTCCTTCTGGAACATTGGACTCCTGTATGTCAAAGATGTAAGGTGAAATGAACAGCAAAGACGTGCAATTTAAACCTGATTGTGACTACAACACAGAGAATATAGCCAGTATTTTATAATAACTATAAATGAAGTATAACCTTTAAAAATGTGAATCACTGTTGTACATCTGTAACATATAATGTTGTACATCAACTATATCTCAATTAAAAAAAGTTAAAAAACAAAACCCAAAAAGAGCAACCTGACTGTGATAGTGTAAACTAAGTATGGAAGTGATAAGGAGACCTAACAAAAGGGAAAGAACTGTTAACCAGGGAAGACTTCCTGGAAGAGGTAAGTTTTCAGAAAAACTGTGTATTTTATTTTCAAAATGGTAAAAATTCAAAAAATTTACAGGTATATAGTGATAGGTAATTTTTCCTCTCATTCCTTATTCCCTGTTCCCCAGTTTCTCTCTCCAAGAAAAACCACTGACACTTGTCTTGTGTATCTTTCCAGGGATCAAGATCCTGAAGGTAATGAGGGGCATAGATTGTCAGAGCAAAGGAGGGGGCTTTTATACCTCTGCCTTGACAGGGGGCCATCCTGCTATGCTCTTTCCTAAATGTGTTCCTCTCTTAGAACGCATATATTGAGTTGCTGAGCTCTGAACAGGACCCTGAATCACCCTGTATAAACTGTACCAATTTTTCAATATCCACTTTTCTTCTCTCTTTTTCCCGTTTTGGGATGGGATGAACTCCATCCAGATCTTACCTGACTGGCCGCTCTCTGGCCTCTCCAATGGAGGAGGGGAAGCATCCCGACCATTTTCGGGGGAGAAACCCGATTGAGCCTTTTGAAGTGTAGCCACCCTACCACCTTAACCTGGCAATGGAGTAATTAGGCAATCGAAAAGCCCGCTTCTGTTGGCCTTGGAGCCCTCCTTCAACTGCCAGCTAGCCTGTCCTCTCTGTGGGGTTTTTCTGCAGCTAAGAGTCCTTGTTTTTTTGTTTTGCTTTTTTTCTCCGCAGCTTGGCACTTTTGCTCTTTCCTTTCTACCCAACTCTTGTCACTGCCAGTGGAGATACGCGCCTTCCCTCCCCTGGGGCTATTGCCATATATAACCCCCAGATCTCCACACCCTGCTTCCCCAAGTCTTTGGGGATTCTGAGGTGTGTAATCGTGGACGGGAGGCGTTAGCTCGGAGGAGGCATTTTGGGCTGGGTGAGATCGGGCCAGCCATTTGGTCCTCAGGTTGCAAGGCACCGCAGCAGGGCCGCGGCCTGAGTTGCCGCTAGGGTTTTGTGGAGAATCCCCCGGGTCGCCAGACTGGAGCGGAGAGCACGGCGCCGCTGGCCTGGGGAGCCGGGTAACCAGCGGCCGAGGTTGGGGTCACCCGAGCCGCTGGGACCGCCAGGGCGGGGCGGAGGGCGCCGCGGCCTGGGGCAGCCTGCGCGGCAAGCGCCCTGCGGCCGGGCCCAGAACGGCCGCCAGGGAGCGCTGCGGGCTCCCGCTCCCGCCCCCTGGTAGGCGGGGCTGCGCTCTCCCCGCAGCCGCCGCCGCAGCCGCCGCCTGGGCCGCCCCGTGTCCCCGGTGGAGCTGCTGCCGCCGCCGCCGGGAGCTCGATGCGGACGGAGCCCGGGCCGGGCCATGGGGATCCTCAGCATCACGGACCAGGTCAGCCCTCCTGCCCTTGCTCGCTTCCTCCTTCCAGGGCCCGACGCCGCCGCCACGCGAGCCCAGGGATGTGCGGCCTAGGCTGGGCCCGAGCCCGGGGCTCCCGCCCCGCCCCACGCCGCGCTCCCCTCAGCCAAGCCGGTGTCCTTGGGGGCCTGGTGACTGGCGGGGACACCGCGGAAGCCCCCTGCGGCCAGGACCCCAGAGCGGAGCCCCTCCAGCGTCGCCCCCCGCCCAAACCCGGCGTCCCCCGCCCCACTCCCCGGTTCCGCTCCGGCCCGCTCCCTGAAAACCGGTTCTCCCTGCAGCCGCCCCTGGTCCAGGCCATCTTTAGCCGAGATGTGGAGGAAGTGCGTTCCCTCCTCTCGCAGAAGGAGAACATCAATGTGCTGGTGAGTTGAGATCAGGCAGGATGGCGAGCCGGTAATCTGGGCCCTGGTGTGCAGGACCCCTCCCCACCAATGGGGCGGCTCCGTGTTTCCTCGGCTCGGGTGAGGCCGCAGCTCTTTCCACCCTGGGATGGGCAGCTGCTCTACATTTGGGGATGGAGAGCAGGTCAGGCTTAGAGCAGAGACCAGTAGGGCTGAGGATGCCCAGAAACGGTGTTCTCTTCTGAACCATCCGTGTCTGCAGCGCCTCCACCCCTCCTGGCAGAAGGAGACTGCTTCGCGGGCCGTGGCGCCCACCCCCTGACTCCACCCTCCCTCGGTGCTTGCTTTGACCTAGGACTGGGGTTTAGGAGGCTGCAGAACCTGTGGGAAGAGGTTGTGGGGAAAGGCCTGGAGCACGAAGACTTGGGCTCGGGTCCTGGATCGTTCACCCCTACAGCTGCTCCTCTTCTCTGCCTTCCTAGGACCAAGAGAGGCGAACCCCACTTCATGCTGCTGCCTACGTAGGCGATGTCCCCATCCTCCAGTTGCTACTGATGTCAGGTGAAAGTAGGGAGCTAGAAGGTGTGGCAGCTAGGGAGGGGACCTGAGGGAGGAGCCTTTTTGTCGTATCCAAGGATTGTCCTCTGGTGCTTGGTCCAGGCAAGCTTCCGTCTCCATCTAGATTCTCTGGCCTGATTACTGGCTTTCTTCCCCACCTGCTCTCCACCTCCCACCAAAAGAGCATATTATACCCCCACAGGTGCTAACGTCAATGCTAAGGACACACTGTGGCTGACCCCTCTTCATCGTGCTGCTGCCTCCCGAAATGAGGTACTGGCCTCCCACCTCTTTTCTCCCTTCCAAAGAGGATGACTTGGTTAAAGGTTGGAAGATAAGGGTTGGAGAGCCTTAGTCCTCTGCCCTACAAGTTGGTCTATCCCCAGGTCCAGAGGAGACCAGACCTTGGCCCCTCCCTCCTACCCCTAGAACTGGCTGGTAAGGGGGGGCTGAGTGTTGCTAGCTGATGTGACGTCAGGGGAGAGCTTAACACTGGGCTGGCAGACTGCAGGGGGCCCTGCTGCCAGGCCTTAGTGACTCATCCCTCCCTGGGGGGCCACCATGGAGTCTGATCCCCCTCTGGGCACTGAGATTTCTTTCCTTGTGATGGAGGGATGGGGGTGGTGATTTGTTGCATCCCTGCCCCTCAAGCAGCATGAAAGGTGACACCACGAGGATCAAACATGCCCCATCAGTTGGGTCCCTCAACCCTGAAGAGTGGGAAGAGATGACCTTCTTCTTGGCTTGGTAGTCACTTCCCTGGCTCCAGCCACCAGGGGGAGGGACTGAGGCCAATGGGAATGGGGTGGGTGGTGAATAGGAGGGGTATTTTAGCCTGGGTTTTGGAGAGGAGCTAGTATCTGTTTGCTTACCTAGGTAATGGAAATGATTCTGATGCATATGGAAGGGCTGAAGGGGGGGTATCTGGGGATTAATGTAGCGGGAACATTTATCTTTCCTAAAAGTGGTAGGGGATTGGGATCCTCTACATGTGTGGATTTGCTTGGTAGTGGCTGTATATATGGGTGAAGATTTTCAGGGTTTGGGTTATGAACAATACCAGGTGGCTTGAGGAGGAGATCCACGTTTTCCTCAGCAAGGGAGGGAAGATTTTAAGCTCTAAGAAGTTCCAGAAGATGGAAAGTAGGTATTGAAAGGCTAGGTATGTTGGAAAAAATGAGGAGAGACTCTCTGCTGGGGGAGTGGGGAGATGGGGTCACATGTGCTGTGCTGACCTGTTCGCCCCTCCATTTCCTGTTGGTTTACCTCCTGCTCCCCCTCTACCTTCTTTCTTATCGCCTGCCCCTCAACAGAAGGTGCTGGGATTGCTGCTGGCACATTCAGCAGATGTGAATGCCCGGGACAAGCTGTGGCAGACACCGCTGCATGTGGCCGCCGCCAACCGGGCCACCAGGTGTGCTGAGGCTCTGGCACCATTATTGAGCAGCCTCAACGTGGCTGACAGGAGCGGGCGCAGTGCCCTGCACCACGCAGTGCATAGTGGGCATCTGGAGGTGAGGACCACTCCCGTCCACGCCCAGCCCTGTGCCTTCTTCCTTCCCTTCCTGCTCACCTTCCCCTGCCTCCGGGCCATTAGGCCTGGGGAGCAGCAGCCCAGATGATTATATAAACACTTGGGCTCAGGCACCAAATGAATGGTTGGGTTGGATGGAAATTCTTGACTTGGACCTCAGGAGGGTGATAAAGCCTCTGAAGTTGCATGGAAAATGTTTGCATACATGGTTTTTTCTGAAGTGAGAGTCCGTGTCTTTCAGCACATTTAGAAGACTTCAAAAGAGTTTAAAAACCACCGAATTACCTGAAGAGACTCCCTTAAGTTTATCTCAGACTTCCAAATCTATCTGGGATCTCCTTAGTGCCTGCTTTCTCTGTTCCCTCTAGTTCTCCAGATTGTTCTGCCCAAGAACAGAGACATTAGGCTGCCTCAGCCTTTTCAGGTGCTAAGGGCTCTGCCCCTAATTAGGTATGTTGAAGGCATGAACCTGGCTCAAACAGGTGTCTTTCATGTCCTGAAACAGATGGTGAACCTGCTCCTCAGTAAGGGAGCCAGCCTGAATGTCTGTGACAAAAAGGAGCGGCAGCCTCTGCACTGGGCGGCTTTTCTAGGTGAGAAGAGAATCACGGGGAGAGCAGGATTTGGGATTCCTAGGGCAGGGATGGAGTGCTCAGGGCCCTAGAGTTCACCTTCCACCTCCTTGAGAGCGTACTGTCTTTTCCCAGGGCATTTGGAGGTCCTGAAACTGCTGGTGGCACGGGGAGCAGACCTTGGCTGCAAGGACCGCAAGGGCTATGGGCTGCTCCATACAGCTGCTGCCAGTGGCCAGATTGAAGTGGTGAAGTACTTGCTACGGATGGGGGCTGAGGTCAGGGTGCTGAGCACGGGGTGGGGCTGGGGATAAGGGCAGGGAGCTGGAGGTCGGAGTCTGTTAGGGAGATAGGAAGGCGCTGGGATTGCTGGTGTGGTTTGGGGAGGTCGGGAAGATGTGGTGAGAGGATCTGAACAATGCTTGTCTTAAGCAGTAGTGCCCCCAGTCTTAGGGTCTGGAACCTGAGGGGTCTGAGGCAGTCGTTGGATTTCTGGGATTCTCTAGGCTATCTGTGCTGGCTTCCACTTTGTTTAAACTGATATCTCCCTTATCCCCTTACCCTCACCCCTGGAAATCCAGATTGATGAGCCCAACGCTTTTGGAAACACAGCTTTGCACATCGCCTGCTACCTGGGCCAGGATGCTGTGGCTATCGAGCTGGTGAACGCAGGAGCCAATGTCAACCAGCCAAATGACAAGGGCTTTACACCACTGCATGTGGCTGCGGTCTCCACCAATGGCGCGCTCTGCTTGGAGCTGTTGGTCAATAATGGGGCTGATGTCAACTACCAGGTGCCTGAAGGGATGAGCCTGAGACCAGTGGGGAGAGGGGCCTGGCTCTGGGGGTGCCGACCGTGTCTTGTGTTCTGGATAACTATGGGGAATGGTCCGCTTGCGTCCTGGGTTGATCAGTCCTTCCCAGGGGCCCAGGAAAATGTGGGCTGAGAAGATGTCCATATGATCACCCCGTCCTCAGAGACGTGTCCTTTGGAAGGGGGAACAGGGCACTCTCCATGCTTTGCACTAGGAAAAAAAAAATGCCATGTTTCCACAGAGCAAAGAAGGGAAGAGTCCTCTGCACATGGCTGCCATCCATGGCCGTTTCACCCGCTCCCAGATCCTCATCCAGAATGGTATGGACCTGGAAGACTTTGTGATCTCTCTTCCCCCCTCAGAGAACTCATCCCTAGAAACACCTTTTCTTCCTCATTCCACCCCCCACCCCATCTTCCAGTCAGGATGGGCACCTGAAGCGCTGAGCAAGACACCTGTGGAAATGGCCCTGCTCTGCCTGCCCAGCCCCCTCAGGCTGACAAACGAGATAACACGTGTAGAAGGCTTAGCCTGGCCCCTGGCACGTAACAAGCACTCAGACAGTAGCTAACTAGTGTGAGTGGTCTGAAGCCAAAGGTCTGAGTGTGTGGGTGTGCGTCCCCCCTTTCAGGCAGTGAGATTGATTGTGCCGACAAATTTGGGAACACGCCACTGCACGTGGCCGCTCGCTACGGACACGAGCTGCTCATAAGCACCCTCATGACCAACGGCGCGGATACCGCCCGGTGAGTCCGGACCCCTGACCCCACTTCCAGGCTGCCTCAGATCTAGGCTGGTGGTAGGCCACAGAAAAGAGGTCTGCATCTGGTCCCTCCTTGACCCAAGGACTGAGTCCCTCCCCTTCTCCCCAGGCGTGGCATCCACGACATGTTCCCCTTGCACTTAGCTGTTCTCTTTGGATTCTCTGACTGTTGTCGTAAGCTTCTTTCCTCAGGTATGAGCTGACTGGTTCGGGGGTTGGGCAGGTGGGCAGGAGAGCAGAGGCCCTTCCCGGCTCTGCTCAGAGCCCTCAGATGGGATCTGTGGCTGTTCTGCCCCTTCAGGTCAGCTGTACAGCATTGTATCCTCACTCAGCAATGAGCACGTGCTTTCAGCTGGGTTTGACATCAATACACCTGACAACCTTGGCCGTACCTGTCTTCATGCTGCTGCTTCTGGAGGGTGAGTTTTCTTCCCTCTGTCTCAGGCCTTGAGAAGGAGGCTGGGCAGGGGTCTGGGCCCCTTCTTCTTTTCTGCCCAGAGCTCGCCCCCTCGCAGTGAGAGCAGTGGCAGCAGAAAGGGCTGTCCAGTTCCATCCTCCTTCAGCCCCTCCCTGGGGAGAATCCTGTGGCTTCTCCTTGAGCCCTCTTTCTCCCCTTAACCTGCATCCTCCTTCCTTTTAGGAACGTTGAATGTCTTAATTTGCTGTTGAGCAGTGGAGCTGACTTGAGGAGGAGAGACAAATTTGGAAGGTGTGTTAATGTGCGGGAGTCTATATACATAGGGAGCATCCGATCAGAGAGACAAGTGATGGAGGGCAGGGTGGGGAGTTGGAGACTGAGTGAGGAGAATATTACCAAGCAGCTTTTGGCCGCACATCTGGTTGCATTTGGACCTGCCCCCGATTCTCTTACCCACCCTCCTTCGCTTCGCCCCAGGACCCCACTGCACTACGCCACCGCCAATGGCAGCTACCAGTGCGCCGTCACACTGGTGACCGCCGGGGCAGGCGTCAATGAGGCCGACTGTAAAGGGTGCTCTCCGCTCCATTATGCTGCCGCCTCCGACACCTACAGGAGGTGAGGCGCCCGCTTTGCTCTTCTCAGCCCCACCCTCCTCCCTGAGTGCCCCCCAGACTTCTTCACTCTCCTCCCCCAGGGCGGAGCCCCACTCATCTTCCAGCCACGATGCTGAAGAGGACGAGCCACTGAAGGAGTCCCGCAGGAAGGAGGCCTTCTTGTGAGTAGCCGAGGAGACCCCCGGGGTGCGCTTTCCCAGCAGTGTCGACTCTGGTCCTGTTATTCTCCCACCACCACCCGGCTGCTGCTTTGCACCCTGAGCTTAGTCCTGGACCAAGCACTGTGGGTACAGACAGAAGTAGGAGACATAGTTCCTTCCTTCGAGGAATGGATGGTCTTCTTGAGGGAATCAGAAAAGCTAAACACAAATTCATTTGCTTATTCCACAAGCATTACTTGAGTATTTACTTGATAGGTACCAAGTAATGTGCTGGGTGGTAAGGATAGAAGATGAATTACCCCAAATTTCTGTACTGTATACATTCTAGTGTAAGATGTTAATAATAGGGGAAGCTGGGTGAGGAATTTATGGAAACTCTGTATTATCCTCACAATTTTTCTGTAAGTCTAAGACTGTTATAAATAAAGGGTTTATTTATTTATTTTATTTATTATTTATTTATTTTTTGTGGTACGCGGGCCTCTCACTGCTGCGGCCTCTCCCGTTGCGGAGCACAGGCTCCGGACGCGCAGGCTCAGCGGCCACGGCTCAAGGGCCCAGCCGCTCCGCGGCACGTGGGATCTTCCCAGACCGGGGCACGAACCCGCGTCCCCTGCATCGGCAGGCGGACCCTCAACCACTGCGCCACCAGGGAAGCCCAAGGGTTTATTTTTTTTTTTAAAAAAAGATATTTAAAATCCAAGAGGCTCAACTATGTGACCTTTGGCAGGTAACTTAACCTCTCTGTGCCTCAGTTTCCTCAACCATAGTAGAGATAAGAATGATGGCTATCTCAGAGGATCAGCGTGAAGACTAAGTGGTTTAATACACATGAAGTGCTTAGAACAGTGTTTGACACACTGTAAGTGTTAACTGCTGTATTAATACTTCTACTAGTACCCCACTCCTGAGCTATAAGAGCGGTGCCGGGGAAGAGAGGGGAGGAGGCACCTAACTGGGAAGTTTGGGGAAGGCCTCCCAGAGAAGAGGATTCTGGGAGCCAGTATGAGATGAGTAGGCCTTTTCAGGCGGGCTGGGAGGAGAAGGCAGGGGTCAGTATGCCTGGAGGTGGGGGGAGAGTGTGTCGATCACAGGTTGGTAACTGATAACTGTGCTCCAGGTTCTCTAGGAGAGCATTCAAAGGATAGAGGAGGGCGTTGAAGCAAGAGTGGTTCAGGGCAGACCTGGAGGTGGTAGGTCTGGGTCTGGGCTTGAATGGGCAGGAGTTAGCCTACCAAGAGTGGGGGATGGGTGTTGGCCAGCTAGGCCTGGAGGGGCTCCCTTGCCCTCTCCTCTGCTCCTCTCAAACTGTGCTTTCCCTGGCTGGGCCTGTCCCCTCCTCACAGTCTACTCCTGTCCCCCAGCTGTTTGGAATTCTTACTGGATAACGGTGCAGACCCCTCCCTGCGGGACAGGCAGGGCTACACAGCCGTGCACTATGCAGCCGCCTATGGCAATAGACAGAACCTCGAACTGGTACGTGTGGGACCTGGCCTGGGGGAGAGGAGCAGGGCAGGGCACAGCACACAGTCTCCTTTGGTATCTGTGGATTCTCAAACCAAGGGGTGGTTGAATCAAATGTGGTCTCTAGATCCAGGGGCTTTGGGGGTTGCTGTGGGTGGGGTCAAGGGGTAATATCTTGGGAATACCAGAACCTCAGCACCTACTATTCTGTCCATTGCAGCTCTTAGAAATGTCCTTTAACTGCCTGGAGGATGTAGAGAGCACCATTCCAGTCAGCCCTTTGCACTTAGCTGTGAGTCCCAGGTCTTTTCCTCTTGCCTTCCTTGTCCCTACCTGCCCCAGGCTGGCACACAGGTATAAGCACGTGTAAATCTGTCCTTGCTTCTGCCTTCTTGTGGGGATGTCGCAAGCAGGCAGTGGTCTGGAGAGGGGCCCAAGGAGCTCACGGGGAGGCCTGTTGCCTGGAGTCTCCCTGTGGGACCCAAGAGCAGAGTGGGGACAGTGTCCCGAGCTGTATCCATTGGTTGCCTGCACCCCTCCAGGCCTACAACGGTCACTGTGAAGCCCTGAAGACACTGGCCGAGACGCTGGTGAATCTGGATGTAAGGGACCACAAGGGCCGGACCGCGCTCTTCCTGGCCACTGAGCGAGGCTCCACTGAGTGTGTGGAGGTGCTAACAGCCCATGGCGCCTCTGCCCTCATCAAGGAGCGCAAGCGCAAGTGGACACCCCTGCACGCTGCTGGTGGGTGCGCCCTTTGGGCTGCTCCCTCCCCTTGTCACGCCAGGCCTCCTCCAAGACTGGTCCCCAGATCCCTCCTGAACCCTGAGGGGACTGGGGTTGGGATGGAGTAGGGTGAGGAAGATGGAAACTGCAAGTTCTGATTCGTAGCCTCCTATCCCCCAAGATTTCTCCCTGCCCCAGGTCTTCCCATAACCCCCACCCTTCACCTGGCCTTCTTGCCTCGACCATGCCCTGACACAGACCCCCTTTTCTCCTAGCTGCCTCTGGCCACACTGATTCCCTGCACTTGCTGATCGACAGTGGGGAAAGAGCTGACATCACAGATGTCATGGATGCCTATGGACAGTGAGTGTTGGCCAGGGGTGGAGTGCAGGGTTCCCATCCCTGCCAGGCCCTCACCCTTTTCTTGCCCCCTCTGTAGAACCCCACTGATGCTGGCCATCATGAATGGCCACGTGGACTGTGTACATCTGCTGCTAGAGAAAGGATCCACAGCTGATGCTGCTGACCTCCGGGGCCGCACTGCCCTCCACCGTGGGGTGAGTGAGCTCCTGGGTAGGGTCACTCACAGAAGGGCCTGGACGCGGGAGCACGACAGTAGGACATCAGATTGTCTAGCACGTGGGCCAGGATCTTGCGCCCAGGGTCTTAGTGGGCCTTACTGTATTTGCTCCAGGATGAGTATCTGACATCCGCAGCTGATCTCCCTGATTACCTTGCTCTGTAATCACATACAGCCACCTGCTCACCACCCAGACTCTGCCCCAGGGTACCCAGCTGGCCCTGTCCTGTTGGATAATGATGCCACGACCTGGTCCTTCTCCACCATTGCCTGTCCTAAAGCTGCCTCCTCCTCATCCCACGGGATTCTCTGACTCAGTCTCCCACTACAGAAGGCCAGGATTAATTCTCACCACCCTGATTGTCAGGTGGCATAGAGTCAGGGAAGGAGATGCTCATCCCTAACACTTAGAATCATTGCTGTAAAGACGAGGATTGGAGCCCTGGAGTTGGTTCCTGCTCCTGGGCCAGCCCCAGTGACTGGCCGTTGGAAAGGGAGTTTGAGCCACACTCCCATGTCCCCCACAGGCAGTGACTGGCTGTGAGGACTGCCTGGCCGCCCTGCTGGACCACGATGCATTCGTGCTGTGCCGAGACTTCAAGGGCCGCACGCCCATTCATCTGGCCTCAGCCTGTGGCCACACTGCAGTACTGCGGACCCTGCTGCAGGCTGCCCTTTCCACAGACCCCCTGGATACCGGGGTGGATTACAGCGGATACTCGCCCATGCACTGGGCCTCCTACACTGGTGTGGCTCTGGGGCCTTTGTAGGCACAGCTATGTGTGTGGGGTGTAGGGGAGGGCAGACAGGGACTAGTGCGTTGAGGGAGGGACCTGGGTTGCTCTGGATCTGGAAGTAGAATGGAGTGTTGAGAGCTGGCACAGGACAGATGGAGGGGACCTTGTTGTCGTTTCTCTCCATCACCACTCTTCCTTCCTCATACCCAGGACATGAAGATTGTCTGGAGTTGTTACTTGAACACAGCCCGTTTTCATACCTGGAAGGAAACCCCTTCACTCCTTTGCACTGTGCAGTGTAAGTCCCTTCCTATACCGCAGCCCCACTCAGGGGTCTGTGACCTGGGCTTAGGACAGGCGGTCTATTTCCCCTGCCCCTCTTGCTGACCCTTCCTCTTCCCCCAGAATTAATAACCAGGACAGCACCACAGAGATGCTGCTGGGAGCTCTGGGTGCCAAGATTGTGAACAGCCGAGATGCCAAAGGACGGTGAGTTGGTGGAGGCTTGGGGAGAAGCCTCCGTTGCCTCTGGCTTCCTCTTGCTGCTCAGGAGAAAGGGCCTTCCCTGTTTCACTCTGCCCTGACCCCCTCCCCACAGGACCCCTCTTCACGCCGCTGCCTTCGCGGACAACGTCTCTGGGCTCCGGATGCTGCTGCAGCATCAAGCCGAGGTGAACGCCACTGACCACACTGGCCGCACTGCGCTCATGACGGCGGCTGAGAATGGGCAGACCGCTGCTGTGGGTGTGTAGGGGCCGCGTGTGGAAGGGAGGTGCTCCCCTGGGTTTTCGCAAGATGGGTCAGCCCTGCCTGTGGGGTTTAGGAGGCAGGAGGCATATCTTTGGATGTTTCACCCTCTGCAGATGGGGTGCAAAGGGTATGCAGACAGGAGGGTGCGGAGCCAGGCCGGCACGGCTCTGGAAGGGAGCGTCAGCCCCCTCTGCCTCCTTTCTCTTGTAGAATTTCTGCTGTATCGAGGGAAGGCAGACCTTACTGTGCTGGATGAGAACAAGAACACTGCCCTCCACTTGGCCTGTAGCAAGGTACCGCCGGCAGTGCAGGTGGGGCTGTGTAAGGGGCTGGGCCTGGTGACTGGAGAGGGCCCGGCGGAAGTCAGGATTGTCCAGACTGTCTGACTGGTGGGACAGCTTTCTGTCCTCCTGCTGCCCCCTCAGCTCCTATTGTCATCCTTCCACCTCACAAGTCTTCACCCTCTGTCCCTCTCTCTCCCTCAGGGCCACGAGAAATGTGCCCTCGTGATCCTGGCAGAAACCCAAGACCTCGGCCTCATCAATGCCACCAACAGCGCGCTGCAGATGTGAGTGCCCTGGGGAGGGGCTCCTGGCGGGGGGGCGGGGCCAGGAGAGCGGCTGAGGAAGTTGCGGCCCGTGTTCCAGGGGCCCTCTGGAACTCACAGTGTCCGCTCAGCAGCGTTGCGACTCTGGCTGAGGGCGGAAGGGCAGCTTGCCATTGCCCCGACCTCATGCTCCTTCTTCTTCCTTTCTTCCGAGGCCCCTACACATTGCCGCCCGGAATGGTCTGGCTTCTGTGGTGCAGGCCCTGCTGAGTCGTGGGGCCACAGTGCTGGCTGTGGATGAAGAAGGTGGGTGGGGTCTGGGGCTCCCTGCCCCTCCGGGCTTTGGGGTCAGGGACATTCGTTCTTCAGGAGGTGACTTCTTAAGCTTGCTGGTTAATAAACTGGATTTTCTTCCCAAGGGAACTCTTCAGAGCAGGGACCCAACACCGATACGCTAGAGTCTCTGAGGGGAGTCTGACGGAACTAGGTGGAGCCAGCAGGGTCCTCAGGAAGACCTCCTGCACACCTCAGCCTCCCAGCCTCCTGTCCCCCAGGCTGGCTCTGTTCTTTACCCCACACTGGGACAGTCTGCCTGTCAGCCTCCCTGGGCCCTTATAGCCCTTGAGTTCTGACCATGCTGGGTGCTTGCCTGCCTTGGCTCCCCTCCACAGATAAGAGAGCTCAGGGCCCAGGGGCGGGTGGATGGGGAGCCAGGGGTACAGGACCCTGGGGCTCAGTTCTCCCCTTTGCTCTGCAGGTCACACCCCGGCATTGGCCTGCGCCCCCAACAAAGATGTGGCAGACTGCCTGGCCTTGATCCTTTCCACCATGAAGCCTTTCCCACCCAAGGACGCCGTCAGTCCTTTCAGCTTCAGCCTGCTCAAGAACTGCGGCATCGCAGCAGCCAAGACGGTGGGTGGCTGCGGTGCCCTGCCCCACGGGGCCTCCTGCCCCTACAGCCAGGAGCGGCATGGCGCCATTGGGTTAGATGGCTGCTACTCCGAGTAGCCCCCTCCCGTGTCCCTCCCCCTGCCGGTGGCTTGATATCTTATTCTATTTATTTAGAAAAAGTCTATACATTTAGGGCACTTTAAAGGAGAACACGACTGGGTTGGGGGGCGGAGGGGGGAAAAAGCACTGGGGAGCAGCTGCTCACCCCTTTGCCACACTATCCTGGCCTGGCAGGGGTCTGGGACCAACAGGGAGCACCCCAGGCCCTTGGTACCCCCAGGGCAACCCCTTCTGCCAAGTGTCCCAAAATGATCGCTCAATGCCTGGCTCCCCCTCTCTTTTATCCCCTCTCTCCGTTCTCCCTTTCTGCTGCCAGCTGCCCCCACTCTTCCCGTTGACTCTCCTCTCTGTCCCCTTCCCCATGCTCCTGCCAGGCAGATCCCCACCTCTTCTTCCATACCCATCACTGCCTCCCTGCTTGGCCGGCCCCTCCATCCCCCCTCCATCCCCGCAGCAGTGAGAAGCCTTAATTTCTGGTACTGTGTGAGCACTCTGGGGGTGTCCCCCTCCCCCTTCAGGGGCAGCTAGCGGACGAGGGGGGAGGGTATTTAGCACTGGGGCCTGGAGCTTTCCCCCCACTTCTATATCCCATCACCCCTAAAGTTCAAATGCAAAACACTTGAAGCAGCAACTACTGTACCTGGGCCCCAGTCCTGCACGCTCCCTGGCTCCTCATATGCAAATCAAGGGCTGGTCCTGCCCCCACAGCCTGCCCCGCCCTGCTTCCCTCCCCCTCCTGGCCTGGCCCCCTGACCACGCACTTTAACCTTGCTTCTTTCTTTTAACTTCTTTCCGGAGGGCAGAGCCTGTGGCCATTCCCTCTCTGGCTCTCCTCTCCCTTAACTTTGAGGCTTGTCATGAATTTTTAAGTAAGCATTTTATCCTTTAGGGGAAGAAACGAATTAACTTCCTGCCCATTTCAAAACCACAGCCCTAGTATGTCTTCTGTGTTTCAGGCATGTGTTTGCATGTGTGTGGAGGGAGGGACTGTGTTCTTCCTCCTGTGCCCCCCAATCCCACAGTTCCTCTGTGCCCCCCCGTCTGCTGCCACCTTCTGTTATGTCCAAGAGTACCCACTGCCCCCAGTCACTCCTGATCTGAAGCCAAAGAGGGAGGGGCAGGGCGACTAGGGACCGTGGCTACTCGGGGACCCAGGATTCCCCTCCGGTGTGAGGATGAAGTTCTGATCTAGGGAGCGACAAGTAGATACTGAGGCTTGGTTCCTGCCTTCCCAGCAGCGGGGAGAGAAGGGATTGAGCTAAGGGCTGCACTGAGAAGATTCCCGGAAGTCGTACCCCAAAAGCCAAACTGGGCTGGAGTGAGGAGGGGGCAGTTTTCTCTCTAAATGTAGCATTGAATTTGGCCCTGGTCCCTTCAGACGCCCTGTCCATCCATCTCCTAGCTAAGCCTCCTGGACAGTTGGACCCGCTCCCTCAGCCCAGTGTTCCCTTCCTCACACTCAATACCTCAGCCAGGGGCCAAGACACAGAACTTGAATAGAGGTCATGCTCCCTCCACCCCCCCCCCCACCCCCCAGTGCATCCTTGCCCAGTTTGGCTGCCATCAGTATTGTCCCCTGAGAACTGGACAGGCTTCGTTTACACAGTACAGGGCCTCCCCCTTGGGGGTCCCTCGGTCTCCTTCCCCCACCCGTGCTTGCTTTATTCATGATCTTACCCCCTTTTCAGTTGTGTCCGCTGCACGTCTTGCCACCCTTGCCAAGGGTGGGCTGAGGGGAGAGGGGCATCCCAGGGACTCCTCCCTCCCTAACAGATACCCTTAACCATACCTCATGCTGGTTTCATGAAGGCTGGGGTGTTTGTCCAAGTCCTTATTCTTTTTGTCAAGGTCCCTTTTTGATCCCCTCTCTCTCTGTGTCTTGCTTCTCCCAGCGCTCAGTTCCTAAACCATTTCAAAGCTTCCAGATGACCATTATTGACGAGAAGGATCGTGCAGCTTTTAGTTTTTAGTTTTGTTTTCAAAGCCAAAGGGCCTTGCAACGCCCCTCTCGCCCCCCTCCCTTCGCACCCTGCCCTCCCCTGTACGACAATCAATGTGACCTCTCTTAAGGGCTGCAGCCCCCCACCTCCAGTCCTGCTGGTTCTGCAAAGCTTGCCCTTAACTTCAGTTCTCTCTCATAAAATCTTCCTGTTCCACCCCCTCCCTCTCATTTTGGTGCTGGGAATTAGGTGGCGGGGGGCAGGGGGAGCAGAGAGACGTGTCCTCCAGAGAAAACTCTTGGGGTTTCAGTCGTGTTCTCCTTTATCAATGTTCGGTGATGACAGGAAGAATCTGAGTTATTTGTCAGGAGCCCCATCGTTTTGCTAGATGAGATTTCTGGTGGCTGCCCATTCCCTGCTGCGCCTTCAGCACACCGTCAGCAGTGCTGGGGCAGGTTGCGGGGAGTCCTCTGTCCCTCCTCATGTGGCTGTGAGGAGGCCAGCAGGATGAGCAGCCTCCTCTCCTTATGCCAAAGGAAATCCCACACCCCACCCTGGGCTCCCCAGCCCCTAGTGTTTTTTTTGAAGCATTTTGACCATTCTCATGGCCACTGCATATTTATTTTAATGTTAAGTTGTTGTTGTTGTTGTTTTTAAAAAGACCTCTTTGACTTAAACGGGTGTGGAGAAGTAAAGCAGGCAGAATGCCCCCCAATCTTAAGGGGGTAGGGTGGGGAGGAATCATCTCCTTCCCTTCGCCCTCCCTCTCCCCCTCCCCCTCTCCCCACTGCAGCTCTAAAGCACTTGCTTCAAGTAATAAGCACTTTTGAGAAAAGGCCTATTTTAAGTGAGGACCCTGGGAGCAGCCCCAGGTCCCAGCAAAGGAGACAGAGCGAGGGCTACATAGGAGACAGGGAAACAGATGTGTGAATCAGAGGGTGAGATGAAAAAGAGCCAGTTTTTAGTTTCTGATTTTGGGGGAGATGTTTCTGGTTGGCCGGTGGCTTTGGTAGGGTTGTGTACTATCCTTCAGAAAGACAAATGGCACAAACTGTGGGTCCCAGCACGGACCAACAGGCCCGGGTCACTGCCACTGTCCAGCGGAGACTGACGGGCCACCTCCCCACCCCGCGGCCCCCTGAGCCATAGGACTGCTGAGAACCACTGAATGTACAGCCCAGGTTGGGGTAGGGAGCAGCCCCTGGGGGAGGGGGCTTCTCCTTTTGTTTGGTGCTGTGGGGGTGGGAGAGGTGAGACTGAGGGACTGCCACCCACCTAGACATGTGTTCCTTGGGGTGGAGGGGCTGAGGAGGGCCTACCTCCCTCTCCATTCCCAGCCGTGGCCCCTCTTCCTTCCTCATCCCTATCCGTTTTGACTGTAAGTCCAGCTCACCTTTGCCTTCAATATGTAACCAAAGGAAAACTCAATACTGTTTCCACCTGTCTGCCCACCCGAGCACCTTCCGACTCCCTGGACCTAGAAGGGGAGAGGAGGCGGGGCTGGGCCGGGGGTCGTGGGGCCAGAGCGAGCGGTTCTGCAGCTGTGTGCCCCCAAAACCTCCTCTGGGGTCTTGGAGGGCGTCCTGGGAGGGGGCGTGGGGGCCAGGCAGGAGGGGCTGGGAGCAGGCGTGCTCGGGACCTTGTGCACATGAGCGTGACTTCGTCCGAGTGACGCCCTGACTGCCCCGGGGGGGGGCCCCCTTCCTCCTTCCCTCGGCCATTTCTCACCTCTCCCCACACCAAGCGTTCATCCCCCACCTCCCCTTCCTGCCGCAAAGGAAAATAGCCTTACAGACCCTAGCCCAGAACCCCTCCTCCTGGGGCACTCCAGTATGGGGCCCCAGCCCACCTAGTCTGAACCCCACCTTTTAAGAGGGAGGGATGAGGAGCAAAGCAGCCCCTTCCCCTCTGACCGTGGTGGCTCCAGCCCTCCTCGGCCTTGACCCAGATTGGGCAAGGGCCGAGGTGCGGAATCTTTGAGGACCAAGCCCAGTGGTCTGGGAAGAGGGAGGTAGAGAGGGAAGGGTCTGACTTGGGGACCCCCTCCTCCCGACCCAACCCCTAGAGAAGCGACCAAATCCCAGAGATGGGAGGAAGCTGGGGTGGGGAGGGTCTGCTCCATGAATTACTTGAAGGTACTGACTCCGAGGCTGCTGTTGCCCACTTAGGTGTGAGGGGGACACTGTCACTGCGTTTGGGAGGGCAGAGGGTGGCGGTGACGAGAGGGTCCACCCTTGGCCCTCGCTCACTCCTGCTAGGCCCTTTCCCTGGGGAGCCTAGCCTGGCCCTCCTGCCTCCATCCCTCACTCTGGGCACCCTCTCCAATTGCACTAAAGTAGCTGTGTGCCAGTCTTACCCCACGCCAGGGTGGGGTCTCTGCTTCCAGTCCTTTCTCCCCACTGCCTCTGCTCCCATCCCGGACAATCTCCTTGTTCCCCTGTATTCCTGGATAGCTCAGCTTTGTGTGTGTGTGTTTGGGGGGTGGGGGTGGGTTCTGGCTGGAGTGGGTTTGGTAGGGGTTTGGGAAGGGCTGGGGGAAAGATGGCGGATGAAAGTCTCCTACCCCCTTCCTCCACTCCAAGCCACAGAAGCTTGGGAGGGAGGGTGCCTACTCTCGCTGCCGTGTGTCTTGCAGATGTGCCAAAACTGGGGTGGGTGGGAGGGGAGGGTGCCTGGCAGAGCAACCCCCAGGGTGGCTCTCTCAAAGCAATACAGTTCCTCCTGCCTGGGGGACGGCAAGACAGGGGAGAGGGTTGGGTTGGGGACCTGGGGGTTCCCTGTGTACAGCTGTGTATATTCAGGGGTGTTCTCTGTCTGGTACCCGCTGTGGGCGTCTACGTGTGTGTGAACCTCCCCTTCCCCGTGCCCTGCATGACCTGTGATGCTGCAGACACACCATTCCTGTGTGCAAGGGTGCGTTGGGGGCACTGAGGGGCATGTCCCATGTCCTGTTGCTCCCTCCATCCTGTGACCCATGTACTCGGTTGTAGGAAGTAAAGAGAACTGAGCACAATTCACTGGATTCTAGTTGAATCTTTCTCTAAGCAATGTTCCCCTTTCTGCCCTTCTCCCTGCCCTGGACTCACCTGTGGTGCTAGCGTTGGGGTCGGGGTGTGTTTCATGCTGGTGGGCAGCAATAAAGGGCAGACCTGCCCAGATGCCTGTATCCCCAGGGTGCTGAGGGCAGCAGGAAAAAGTGGGGACCTTGGTGCATTTGCCTCACCCCTCCCCTTCCTCTCTGGGCTAAAGCACAATGCTCTCCCCGCAGATGGATGCATCCTGCACCCTCCAGGCCCCTCCTCCCCATACCTGCTTTGAGCCCTCCTCCTGCCACATCCTGGTTTTCTATGCTGTTTTGGTGCAAGTACAACTGTCGTAGTCATGGCTTTGGGATGGGTTCTGTTTATTAAAATCCTGTTGCTCCTACTGGCCCTGTGTCCCGCCTCCATTCCTGTGGTTGGGGGGAAGGAAGGGCAACCTGGACGCCTTTCCACTGGCCCCCATCAGCCATCAGAGACCAGAGGCCACAGCTGCTCCTCCAGCAGGGCTATGGTGAGCATGAGGCCACCCCCCAGCAGCAGCCCCAGCCCCTGCAGTAGCACACTGAGCGCAGGGAGGGGCCCAGGTGGACGAAGCAGGGCTGGTAGCTGAAAGAAAATAACAACATCAGGATCCTGGCCTTGTCTCTGCTCCTAAAACAGCAGAGGGAGATGTCAGCAGCTCTCCCCCACCCAAGCTCTTCCACACCCCTGTTTCTCACGTAGTCCAGCCACCCTTCCGGGGGGCCAAGGGGGAAGCAGAGGGACTGATACTTCCCTCTCCTCTACACCCACCCCGCTTCCCTTGGTTTCTCCGCACTACCCCACACCTCACCATGTCCACAAGGGCCACGTAGAGGAAGACCCCGGCAGTGACCCCAAATACCCAGGGCGTGAGGGGGACAGGGCCCAAACTGAGCCCCACCCCCAGGGCTGCACCCCCCAGTCCCAGGACTCCAGACACCAGGCTCAGCAGCAGCAGCCGCCGGAAGGGCAGCCCTGCCTGGAGCAGCATCGCGAAGTCACCTGTGGGGAGAGAGGACAGGGTAGGAGGGAGTACGCCAGGGCTGCCCCTCACCCACGTCACCGCCAGCCTCCAAGTTCCACCCCTTGGAGGTCTCTCCTTTCTGGAGTCGACCCCACTCCGCTCCTGCCATTCCTACCCAGTTCATGGGGCAGCTCGTGGCAGAAGACTGCTACGGTGGTGCTGAGGCCACTGGAGAAGCCATCAGAGAAGGCAGCGCCTGGGTGGGCAGGATGGGAGGTGGTCAGTCTGGAAGGAAGCTCTCCCCGGAGGAGGCTGGGGCCTGCATTCCCTCTGTGGTCCTCCCATTCCCCGCCCCCCCCCCACAAGGTAGCTCTCTCCCTGCCCCATCCAGTAACTAGGAGGCCTACCCTCTCCCTCCCTCCCCCCGCTCCTTCCCCTCCCTCCCTCCCCCGCCTCACACCTATGGCCAGCCCATCAGTGAGGTTGTGCAGACCATCCCCCAGGAGGACCATCCACGTGATATTGGTGCCACCGCTACCCTGACATCCATGACTGTGGCCTTGGCGCCCAGGAGGGGCCAGGACTGCTGGGGGCTGGCTGTCCTGCTCCCTCTGGCCCTGAGCCCCTGGCTCTGTGGGAAGGAGGGAAAGAGCGGTGTTGGTGGCCGCGAGTGAGAGCTGGGAGCCAGGGCCCGCTCTTCATGTCCTCCGCCAGTCACCTGGAACTGCCTGCAGGGGCCGAAGCGCCATCCCACTGCCATCCTCTGGGTCCAGGTTTGGAGTTCTGAGATCCTTTCTTTTTCGCTGGCAGCACCTCTGAAATGGGAGGGTGTCCCTCCTGAGGGAGGAGGCAGCGGAGCTGGGGGCTAAGGAGCGGCCAGGCTGCCAGCAGGGAAGGTGAACACCTGGTCCCACCTCTGCCACTTGGGGATGTTCTCTGGCCTCTGCTCTCTTCCCAGGCTGGCACCTCTCTGTTTCTTGTTGACTTGAACTCAGGAGAGGAGGCCGTTTGGCCGGAAGTCCTGGGTCTATGCTGAGGAGCCCCAACCCACTCCCTGTTAGCTGTCAGGTCCTGCACAGTCAGGCAAACGTCAGAGCCAGGAGCGCACTTGGCCCCTCACCTCCTGGCTTGAGTGGCCAGTTCTTGGCTAGGACTCTGGCCTCGGCAGGAAGAAGACAAAAGGGTGTCACTCACTGGCTTGAGCCCTCGTCGCCGCAAAAGCCCTAGCATGTTCTCCAGGACGAAGAGAAGAAAGAGACCACCAAGCACCGACAGTCCTGGTCCCAGGTCCTCCTCTGGCTGCCCGCCAGGTCCAGCATGCTGCCCTCCTTGCGCCTGACAGAGAGGCGGTCAGGGCAGACTCTGGAAGCACCTGCACCCAACAGCATCCCCCTCCTGAGATGGTGGAGAGAGGTGGTGAGCCTTCACTCATACGCTCTACTAGAAGGCAGCTGTGGGCTGAAGCTGGGGTGGGAGAGAGGATGTCCTATGACTGGGAACACACTGGCTCCATGGAGGCTGTCCACCCCTGGGGCAGGGGGACAGGAAAGGGGCTTCACGTACATGTGGCAGCAGGTGTAGCAGGGCGTCCCCACAAAGAGTGCCCACGGCCAGGGCCCCCAGGAAGCCCAGCAGGGGCTGCAACAGATGAGGTCCCAGGAGCCGCAGCAGCAGCAAGGAGAGGGGAGCAGGCAGGCTGAGCAGCAGGACCGCCAGGGCACTATGAACCAGGGCTGGGGAGAATCAGGGGATGAAGTTAGGCACGGCTGAAAGGGAGGCCTTAAAGGGAATGCTGCAAGGGGAGGCGGGACCCCAACGAACCCCCTTCCTTGGCTTGGGCCCCACTCCCTACAGGATTCAGGTGCCCCACCACTTGCTCTCCCCCACTGACCAGATAGCAGATCCCCTGGGGGTGTTGGAGCTGGGGCCCGGATGCAGACACGGCTGTCAATCTGATAAAGCAGGGCTGGACACAGCAGAGCAAACTGACGAGGGGTCAGAGGAGCAGCAGGGCTCAAGCCAAAATTGACCAGCAGCTGGGAGCCATTCAGACACTAGGGAAGTGGAGTTGGAGGTCACACATTGGGGAATTGCTGAGAACTGTGATTCAGATCTTTAATGTCTGCCCTTCCATTGCATGGGCTCCTGGGTCTCTCCCAGGGTCCCCTTTGCTCACACTGGCAGGTGCATCAGGGACTCGGGACAGTTAGGTATAATCAGTGTGTGTTAATTATTAGTGAATATTCAAACCAATGCAAACATTCAGTTCGGTACAGATTGGGTGCTAGTGAACATCGCCATCATCTCCCTCCTTCCCAAGCCCCTGATGTCTCATTAATTTGGTGATGGAATTGATTGGACAACTAGAGCCCTCCATTGCAGAATCTTAGAAGGGAAAAGAACCTAAAATGCCATGCTACCGTCCTCTCAGCAGCTCTGTCACTTGTTCAACCAGCCTTGGCTTGAATGCTTCCTGGGATGGGGTGCTCACCTCACCAGGCCTGTTTCAGGTTGGCTTTGGCTGCCCTCTGGTGTACATGGAACAAGTTCACTGACTTTCTGGATGAAGACAGCCATCTACCGCCTGCAGGCCGCATTCTCCAGATAACCAGCTCCAGAGGCTACCCTGGGCTGCTTCTCTGAATTCTCTGCTTTGCCAAGTGTGGCCCCTAAACCAAGTCTTGGAGCTTGGGGTATGGGTTTATCTACTCTGAGCCCAGAGGGGACATATTTCACTACTGGAATGACATACCCTAAGATCACACCTGGATTTTTTTTTAAGTAACCATTTAAAATGACTTTTTTTTTTTTTTTTTTTTTTTTGTGGTACGCGGGCCTCTCACTCTTGTGGCCTCTCCCGTTGCGGAGCACAGGCTCCGGACGCGCAGGCTCAGCGGCCATGGCTCACGGGCCCAGCCGCTCTGCGGCATGTGGGATCTTCCCGGACTGGGGCACGAACCCGTGTCCCCTGCATTGGCAGGTGGACTCTCAACCACTGTGCCACCAGGGAATCCCCAAATGACTGACTTTTTAAACATTTCAGGCCATCTAAATCCCATGGCTCCTTTTCCCTCGCTCCAGATCATCAGACTCACATCCTCATTCAGATGGTCAGCCAGTGAATGGTCCAGCAGCAGAAGCCTGTGAAAGAGGCCCAGGCCCGATGGGGCTGGCCCATGGGCTGGTGCTGGGGCCTCGGTCTCCTCCAGGTCACCCCACCCAGGGGGGTGCAGAGGCAGCCCTGCCCAGACGTCCACACTCAGCTCGGGGTCCTGGGGCCTAGAGTGGATGGATAACAAAGTCAGACTTACTCATGTTCTCTCAGAAAGGGGCTGTGAAAGGATGTAACGAATCAGGTTCTGAAAAATCTGTAATTCCAGGAATCTGATTTTAGGAAGCCAGAGCTAGGCAACCGGAGGAGACTGATCCAAGTACTGAGAAGAGCTGGGGTGTGACATTTTGGGGTGGGGAGAGGGGTTAGTACCTGTGCGTGGAATTGTCTCCAGCTGGGGGTGTAGCCCGACCAGCTGGAGGCCCGTGGTGTCCCAGGTGGAGGGCCTGAACTCGGCCTAGCCCCAGGCTGTGGAGAAGCCTCGCTAGGCCCCCTGCAGTCAGCGTCCCATTCTCCCCATACAGGCCAAACAGCTGGGCCAGGTAATGGTTCTGCTCCTGCTCAGCAGGGCCCAGGTAGGGGGCTGAGCCCCCTACCCAGCCCAAGGCCACCCACACACACAGGCCAGCCAGCAGATGACTCACTGGGGGCCCCATTATCGGGGGGACAGGGTTAGAGGCTCTGGTTCCGGCTTCTACTCCTCCAGGAACATCCCGAGGACCGTGCCCTGGAAGAACAAGGAGAAGGGGGCTGGGGCTCCTGCCCTGCTGTCCAGCCCAGGGCCTGGGGAGCCTGCACCCCTCACACCACCCCCTCCTTGAATGCTGCAGCGGCAGCCTCCTTCCTTCCTCCCCATTGCCTCCTTCTGAGCAGCCTCTTGCTTCCCAGTTCCTAGAACACCTTCCCTGAACCAGAACACTCCCCTCACCTGATCCAGAGCTGACCTGTCCCTGTCCCTCCCCTATCCCCCAGACCCCACCCCTCAACCTCACCCCACCTCTCTATCCCCCCTCAATCCCCAGGGCCTCACCCCCAACTGGCAGTGTGAGAGCCGTCACCTCAGGTCCCCATGAGGCCTCGCTGTGGACACTTAGAGGTTCCTGGGTTGTGGAGGAGAGCCAGGCTCAGCCTCCAGCTGCCCAGGTAGATCGGAGGCCATGTCAGATAGAGGGCTGGGATGGACAAGCCCCCACTCCCAGCCCACCTGCCTGGGGGCGGGGCCAGGGAGGTGCCAGTGTGGGAAGGCTTACATCAGAGAGGAGTTAATGGTTCACTGGTCTCTGGGGTGGGGGTCAAAGGTCAGTCTTGGCTGGGCCCCTGAGTAGGGAGGGGCCACCCTCTGCCCCTGGAAAAGCCACATGGCCAAGGAGAACCAGGGCCTGGGCTTTTCTTCTAAATAATTTACACCCCAACCCAGGTGGTACCGTCTTAGCCTCTCCCTGCCTATACTCCCACCTCACCTACCTTACATATGGCATCGGGCTTCATTCATCTCCAACCCCCATCCCCACATTCCCTGGGAAGTTTGGACCCAGGTGTCCCTAAGCTGGAGAGGAGGGTAAAGAGGCAGATAAGTGGCAAACCCAGATGCGTGGGGAAGAAATTGTTTTTAGCACTTCCTCATCCCAGAAGAGTAAGAGCCAGACCTCTGGGAATCTATGACCACGAGAGGGGACGCTCTGGTGGGAAGAGGAAAGGAGTATCTGGGCCTCCTCAGATGTCTGACCTGGCTTAAGGTTGGGGAGCACAGTCTGACTGGGGTGACCGGTCCAGGGGGTCGAGGTCAGCATTACCTGACAGCAGGAAACAGGAAGGACGCCCAGAGGAAGGGGGACACAGTCTTCTTGGTTCCAGCTGTGGGGGGTAGGCAGGCAGGCGGACAAGGGTCACCGGCAGGGAGGGGGCAGGGGAGGGGCACTACCTTAAAGGGGCAGGCCTCCTTTGCCCGGGCCTTGCCTGTAACCTATCTCCCCTCCACCTCCTAGGGACACCCCACTCTCCCAAATGCCCAGCTGCCGACCTCTTCATTTTCCCACAAAGAGCAAAGGAGTCCAGTACAGAGTGGTAACATTTATTAGGAAGGAGGGATTCAATTAAACTTCCACATCACACACCCAAGGATCAGACTGTAACCGTCATTTCTAAAGAGGAAGGCGGGGAGGCAGAGGGCCTGGACTCCCAGGGGACAAGCCGCTTCAGCTGACAAGGAGGGGACTATGGGCTGAGGGAGGATAAGGCCACTGCTCACCACCCCTCCAGTGAAGTTTAGTGGCTAAAATACTCCTACACACCCCCTGCCCCCAAAAGCCAGCAGCCCAGTAGAAAGCTGTGTTCTCTAGCAGACACCTGGGTTGTGGCTGGTGGCAGGGAGGAAGAGTGTCTTGCTATCTCTTGCTGCTCCTCCGGGTTTCTTTGCCATTACTGACAGGGCTGCTGGAGGGGCCAGGAGGGCCGGCAGGTGTGTGGTTGGGCTGGCTTCGGGTAATTCGGGGTGTGGGGGGGTGGGGGGGAGTGTGAGGGGGGTGTGGGCCACCACCAGGACCTGGTGGGGTGCTCAGTCCATTCCCGTTCTGGCTCTCAGAGGCTAGTTGTGGGAGAAGGGGAAGAAAAACCGGAATTAGAGAACTAAGGTCGGCAGGCATCCGTCCCCAAGGCCCGCCTCCAGCCCCAGCAGGCAGCACAGTCTCCACCGAGCACAGCTGCGCACTGATGCCGTTGGACCAAGTGCAAAGGATGTGAGTTGTAGGAATGGGGCCCCAAAAAGATGCAATCATCATTTTGGCAGTTGCTACATGAACTGTCGTATGATATTTTTTCTTTCTTTTTTGTTTTTAATTGTTGGTTTTTTTTTTTGGCTGCGCCACGCAGCTTGTGGGATCTTAGTTCCCCAAACCAGAGATTGAACCTGGGCCCTCAGCCGTGAAAGCGTGGAGTCCTGACCACTGGACTGTGGGGAATTCCCGATATATTTTTTTTCTCTTTTATCCATCTCTGTATCATTAGGAGTCAGATCTAGAAATAGCTGTTTAGTTCTAGGCTCAAGGACCACCGACAAAAGAACCCTTGACCAAAAGTGACTGTAAGACTGGAGAAGCATTGGGAAAGGAAGGGCCTGAAGTTTCCATCTTAAAATGTAAGAAGGATCTTAAAAAAAAGAAAGAAAGAAAAAAGTGTGGTGGTGTGTATCACAATGATACATGTTCACTTGGGAAAACAGAAATAAGAATAAGCACAAAAACTATTATACATACTCTCACAGAGTAAGCAAAATAACTATTATACATACTCTCACACCCCCAAAATAACAGACCACATTTTTGTGTATATTTTCAGTGTTCGATGGTTTCCTTGAACTACCTTAGCTGTGCAAATCATTATCACCACACTTACCACAGTGTATTACAACTGTTGTCTGTGGGACTATTCCTTTCATGGACTGCAAGCTCCTCAAAGCAAGTGCTATGTTTTTTCCTTGGCATTCCTGATCTATAAATGCTTGTTAAATGAAGGCAGAGGCCTGCCTCTCACATACATAGGGCGTCATGAACCCTACCCATATCCCTGCTGAATCCTTCTGCTCCATCAGACTAAGATATCTGCAGCCAAAAATGGAAGAATAAAGCCCCTTCCTTAATTCACAGAAAAAATGAGGAGTATGTAGGAAGTCATCATTTTTATGCCACACATGTTTTTTTAAAACCTTCTGTACCTGTTAGCAGATGACAAAGTGAATAAACATCTGGCAAATGAATATTAGGGACAAACAAGCTTAAGTGTACCTTATTTAAAATAATTTTATAAATTATGGAGTTATGGAGACCTGAGAATACGTAATAGTCATATTTTCAGTTGAAAACATGGATGCTACTCTTTTGTGGTGGAATTAAATGTTGTTATTTCACGGTGTTCCTAAAGAACACCGTGACCCTGAGTGGTTCTGACACAGACAATTTTGGAAACCATGGTAACTGGGGATGCAGACACAGACTGAGGAAGGGTAGAGGAAGCCTGAAGCCTAGTGTCACAGGGAGAAACATAAGGCATGGATCAGAGGCAAGAGAGAGACAAACACCCAGGAGTGGTAGGGTCAGCTGCGAGATGACCCAGAAGGAGAAAAGAGCAATAAAAACCAGGTTCCTAAGGAGAAGCCAGGAGACGAAGGAAATGATGTTGGTGAGTGATTCTAATCAAAAGCTGATGACCTGCAGTAAGCCAAATTCCTCAAGAGACCAAAAGCAGGGGCTTCTGAGTTGGAAGAACCATAATCCTGAGGGCCAAGGCCTAGAAGCAGGGCCTTTAGTTTTCAAGAAAGTGGCAACCCTAAAGGGGAACTATTTAGTGCTTAAAGTTGAGCAGTGTGGACTCCATGCTGAGTCCTGTAAGTAACAGTGTATCAGAACTGATAATGAATCAAAATAGGCAAGGGGAGAAAAGGCAAGGTTCTGCCAGAGAAGAAGCAGAGAGGAACAAGCTAGAATGAAAGAGGGCAGTCTTTGTGGAGAAGCTGCTCTCATTTTTGCCTCTGAGTGGCAGTGGCAAAAGGGAGCTCTATCAGTGATAGAAACATGGCCCCAAATCTTTTCACCCCAGGGACTTGCAAAAGAACTGGGAGAATTGGGTGCAAGAGGATATATTGAGAGAAGAGAGATCTGGAAAAGGGATGAGGGCAATGCATCTTTCCAGGCTGGGGAGATTAGGACTAGGAGGACCAGTGGATGGAAGGAACAGGTTTACCTGGAGAAGTGGCGGGGGGTCCGGTGGTAGGCTGGGGAGCCGTAGGGCTGCTATCGTTCTGTACCTGAAGGCACAAATGACACATTCAGACCTTACTCCCTACCATGCTTCTTGGCCTGACCTGCCCTCCTTCCACACATCACAGCCATGGGACTCACCGTCTTGTTGGGTGCCTGCTGGGCACTGTATTCTGGATTTGGCTCACTGAAGTTAGGAACCTCAGAATAAACCATACAGAATCTGCAAGGGGAGAAAGTGGCAAAGCCTCAGGCCCAACCTCTGGGCTACTCTGGAAACCTCAGAAAGGTCCAGGTACAGGAAAGGGAATGCACACCCTTATGCTGTCTCCTTGCAAACCTCAAACTTCTCTCCTTGGCCTGGTGCTTCTACATCCCCAGCTCCAAGACAGCACTTACTCTCCAATCTTTTGAAGATCACCCCCACGGCCAGTGTACAATGTCAGACAACCTTTGAACACTGAAGCGTACCTGTGGGGTCACAAAAAGCAGGATTCGAGTTACAGGGACTGTTAATCCCCCCCCCCCCCCACCCCGTTACTGCCCTTGAATAGCCAGAAGTCACCTGATGGCTTACCCTTTGGTGAGCCGGATAATATCCCCAGGCTGGATCAGGTTGCCCACGTCGTCCCAGACGGAGATATTGATGCTGCCAGTTTTGTCTGCCACTTTGCAGGTCCTAACCTCGTGCCCGTCCTTTGTCTTGGTCACTCGGCCTGGAGGGAACAGAACAATGGGGTTAGGGAGTGGATGGTCAAATAAATGGGGGTGGTGGTGATCAGAGGGATGAGGTCTAGATATTGGTGGAGTGAGGAAAAAGGTGTACAAACAGGGCAAAGTCAAATCCCTGGGGCAGGTGAGGGAGGGGCCAGCACCATGGAGAGGGCCCTGTGTGGGAAGAGGCCCAAGAGGCACTGGAGGCTTGGATCTGACAAGCGTTCCATCCATCTACCCTACACTGCAACTCTCCGGGTGGGGGCGAGGAGACTGGGCGTGAGCAGTCCTGTGGTGCGCCCTGCTGTGACGGGTGCAAGTTAAGAACAGAGGTGATGTTTCCCCCCTCCTGGCCCCCAACCCCGAGAATGCGCGCAGGGGGCCCACCGCGCCAGCAGAACCACCTGTCTCCAGCACAATGAAGATGAGGTTCAGGTTCTTGAGCCCGGGCTTGATATCCTTCACGAAGGTCTCCGTCGTCATGCTGCCCGAGCCTCAGCACCCCACTAGAAGGGGGAAAAGGGGACGAAGGTTCAACGCTTGGAGCCTTCGCCCCCATGTCCACTTCGCAAGGCCTACCTATCACACTAGGCTGGGGTCAGGCAGCCTCAAACCCTCTAACTCTTCTAAAAGGGTAGAAACGAACTTCCCCAGGGGCTTCCAACTTCAAGATCAGAATTCGGGGGTGTCTCTGGATAGACTGCTTCTGGGCTGGAAGCCCCCTCCCGGGATGCTCTTTCAGTATCAAGCCCCGAAGTAGGGAAGCCGACGGAGACGGGGGCAGGAAACCTGGTGCGGAGCCAAGGAATGGAATCTCACTCGCCAAACCCTCCCGAACCCTCATCTGTACAACCGGGGACTCGGTGCATCCTCTCCCCGACCCGCAGCCCACTACCCACCCAGCCTGCCCGCCGTACACTGCACCCCACTGAGCCGCCCGCAGGGGGAGCCAAAGGCCCCGCCGCCGCCGGATGCGGACCAATGGAACGCTGGAGTGCGAACATTCCCGGAAGTTTCCACCGGCGGGCCTCCTCCAGCCAATCAGCACCCCCCCCCCCCCCCCCCCGCGTCCCGCCTCCAGTCCCCACCCGGCCAATCGCGATCCGAGATTCACGCGCCGCGAAGCGGGTGGGATTTTAGGTATTAAAGGAGCCAGGGAGAGGGTTGGCTGCGCAAGAAAACACGTGGACCACCAGGGGGCGTCTCAGGTACCAATTTTCCTCCACTTGACTAGGAGAATGCACTAAGATTTGTTTCTCCTAGACGTGACCCAGTGGAAAAAGAAGCAAAGGTTTTTGGAATCCGGCGGACAAAAGTATGAAACCCGGCTCATAACTTCTTTTCTCGACAGTTCTTCAATATGTGATTCCATTTTGCAGACGAGAAAAAGAAGTTATATAAGAAGCTGTGTCTAGCACACAGCAGGCAGTTTCCTCCTCTTCTCCAACTGCTTTAACTCTCATCTTTATTCCTGATTTGGGGTCCTCAACTTTAATGCACTATCCAGCTTGGTCAAGATCTCTGGAAAAAGCAGCATTCACAGCAGAGACAGACAACAGGCAGACTCACCCCCTCCCCCTTTGGAAGTAATGGAATCTGGGGCACCGAAAGCAACATTTGCATTAGACTCTCCCAGTTTGAAAGGCACCTGTTCCTAATGCACTTATCTCACTAGATCTCAGGGTCCCCTCAGAGACTGAAAAGAGGCCCGAACCTTTAGTTCCCTTTGAGACTTGTTACATAGTCAACAAAAGGCAGCTAGCTCTGTAATGTTGCCTATAGGCCAATTATATATAAACAATATACGTACATGTGCATTACCATTTGCTTGGCGAATATCCATATCAAATACTGCTTACTATCAGATTAGCCTAAGAGGCCATGTAATTGTAATGCCTTGGTTTGCTTAATCAATCCCTTACCTTCTCCTAGAGGGCTTTAGGGTCCACCTTGACTTTCCTCGGAGCTCAAGTTCTCTCCCGCCCACACCCCCAGCCATGGTGCTGTACCCTAAGGAAATCAAACCACAACCCGGGAAGAGGGACATTTTATCTCCCTCCTCTCCCGTTAGGTGTTTCAGGGAACTGTACAAGTGTTTGGAAGGCCGACGTACAGACGTCAGGAGTGCGACTGGGAGAGAGGCGGGCAACCCTGGATCAAAGTTGTCCGGTCAGACACTCCCCCATTCCCCACCCCGTGGTCGCCTTGTTGACTACATATCCACTCCCATGACCATGAGTCATGAGATCGGGAGGCTCCGGGATGCTGACCACAGCTCTGGAAACGGGAGAGGGACCGGGGAGACGGCAGGTCACTGCAGGCCAGCCTCCTAGAGACGATCTCGCAGCAAGCCGCATCAGCTTTAGGGCACGAACACGTGCACCCCTCCAAAGCGAAGTCTCGCGCTCCGGGAGAGTCGGCCCCCAGCTCTGTCGCTGACGCTCACGCTGGGGAGAACATAGAGCTCTCCCTCCCAAATGGCTATCTAGTTCTCGCTGGGACCATAAAGACTTCCGGTCTAGAGCGGAGGCCTGGCTAGCCTTCCACTCACCTCGTTGGCCGCTTGTGGCTTCTAGTTCGGGGCTGAGTTAAACAAAGAGGCGGAGTTTGGTGACGAGCTTCCGCTAGGTTGCGTAGCAGCGGTGGGCGGGGCAAGGGATCTGTCCCACACCGCGAAGAGTGGTCGGAACCAGCTCTCGTCTTCTTCCCCTTCCCCTTCCCCTCCCAGGAAAAGCTGGGACCCGGCACCCTGGCTATCCCTTGGCCGCTGCGGCCTCAGCTCCAGCCAGGCCTGGGTACGGAGAGTCCAGACCGCTTCCAGGGCGGTGCGTACGGCGCCTGCGCGAGCTCCCACCTAAAAGAGGGTGTGGGAGGGGAGGGGGCAAGGTCCCAGGGGGGTTGGGACGGGGGTTCGAGCTATTGGAGGTCAGGAGGAGGGATGGGAGTAAAGATGAAAAATGGAGGAAGGGAGCAGTAATAGGGAGGAGTCTAGAGGTGATACAGGGGCGCTGATGGGTGGGTTGTTGGGGAGGTCCATTGGAGTGGGGGAGCCTTAGGAAGTGCGGGAGGGGGCCTGGGCTGGCTGGAGGACAGGGAGGGGGTCGAATTGGGGGAACCACGTGGTGTTTAAATGGGCAATGATTGACGGGCCGGAAGGGGAGGCAGGGAACATACTGGGGGTCAGTGTGGGCAGGGGCGTCGGAACCTGAACCCCCGCCCTCGAAGCGCCATAGCTTGGCTCCTCTCCCATGCCTTGTCTTTGACAGCCTTGTCTTCCTCCTCCATTCCTTCCCCCCTCTCCCTCCCACCCCTCCATGAAGGAATCTCACATTCCTTACATCCCTGCCCTGGATTGCCAGTCCCTCTTCACACACTTCACACACCGGAAAGCCTTCTCCAAACCAGAACGCAGAGGAAATTGAGGATTGGGAAGTAGGGGGCCGGAGAAGGAGCAGAAAGCTGAGAGGGGTGAGGGTGTTTTGCCTGAGGGACTGACAGACATCTCCATTCAGAAACTGACTTCATTCTACCTAGTAGCAAATGTGGCTGTTAGAGACCACTGAATCACCGTTCTTGGGGACTGGGCTGTGGTAGTGATAGTCTAATCCCTTCCTATACAGGTGGTTTTAGTCTGACAATAGAGCAAGAAGCTGACAATGTTGCAGGCTGATAGTTGTCCCCAGATAGGAATGGCGGGGAATCGGAGTGATGCAATAATGTTACTGCCCTGTGTGTCCAGCTGGCTTTGTGGCTGTGCCTGGTTCCCAGTAATGGGAAAGAAAGAACAGGCTTCTTTCAAGCATTTCCTCATGGGCCCTCAGTACTCTAAATTTATTTTGCAGTCTGTTACTACAAATACCTTACCTATGAATAGCGGTATTCAGTATGCTTTCACATTTATTATGTCATTTGCTTTTCCTGGACAATATGTAAGGTCGATAAGGCAGTTATCATTTTCCTTACTTGACAGGTGAAGAAATTGAAAATTACAGAAGGGATACATGGCTTGTTAAAAGCCATACAGTTGGTAGAACTGGGACCAGAACCCAAGTCTCCTGACTCCTGGTCCTCCTCTCAGTTGAAAAATCCTGTTTTGTTCTGGTAAAGGGAGCACTGAAGGACGATTGGTTTTCCCAGGCTAGATAACTGTTTGCTTTCTGAGTCTGAAACTTGTCACTGGAAGACTGAACATAGCCAACAGCACTGGCTCCTGGAAGCATTTCTTGACATGCAGGTGCTTGTGCCAGGCTGTTGCTGTGGTCAAAATGGAAGAAGCATTATACCCTCCTCTGTATTATGGATGGGAGAGACAGATCAACTTCCCCCCACCTCCAACTACAGGGAAGAGAAAGTGGATCTGGCCTTGCACTTTTATCCTCTGATTAGTTTTTTTTTTTTTTCCTCTGATTAGTTTTAAAATACCATACTAATGTGTTATGGCTGATGAACGTAGTAAACTAATGAGCACGTATACCAGACTCAGGATGAAATGGTCTCTGTTTTATGACTAAAAATCGTCATCCTTTCTAACATAGCTGTTAACATTGATAGATGTGAAGGTAAGGAAAGGAATTTGAATAGTTTCTATTCTGCGTCTGAAGCCTTGTCTCCTTCTACTTAGTTTCATCCTTTTAGTAATGAGAGTCTGGTCAGCTTAATCATACTGCTACCTCTAGTCTTTCCAGTTTCCTACCCTAGAATAATTTCCTGATTCACTGCCTCTTCATTTTTTTTTTTAAAGCCTGATCCCCTCAGGAATATTTCTGGACTTGGAAGTAGAATTGCACCTGTACCAACATTCTTGAGCATCTTCTTATGAAACAGTATTTTCCAAGTGGAGAGTAGGACAGAATTCTTTTTATATGAAATAATTTTTGTGAAAGCACTCTGGAAACATTAAAGCATCATACTGTACGTGTAAGCTGTCATGGCTCTCTGCATTGTATAGCCACAGATTTAGACTCATTGACATTACTTTTAGTTGTATGCACTGAATAAAAGAACCTTTTTCTATCTCAAACAGCTCCTCTTCCCTACCTTTCTTCTTGTCCCTTTCTCTCCCCCTCTCAGCTATGTTTGAATCACCTGGTCTGTGCGTGTGATTCCTTAGCTGATGATCTCACTCCTTAGAGGGTAGCCTGGATGCCTAGCCTTGAAACCTATAGTTCTTAGTGGAGTTGTCTCGTCCTCCTCAACCAACCACCAGATCCCAGTCTGTCTAGTTTCACTGCCAAGTGCAGGTAGTTCTCCTGACTCACCTTTTTCTTCCTTGTTCCTATTAATAGAGTGCTCCTGATTGTGACATCACATCCATCCCCTTGGCAATGGAGCTTGTCCCTAGGAAGGAAGACTCAGTCGGAGAATAGCCAACAAGATGGGTTACTGGGAATGTCTCCTGAGTGGCACTGAGTGGAAGCATCAGGGGGTTGGAGCCTTGTGAACAGGGAACCTGCCCCCAACACTTGGAAGGTAAAGAGCCTTGATTCAGAATCCCATTCTGGGCTAGAACCCTCTTCTCTGCCAATCCGGGTTCCTTCTGCTCTTGAAAGCCTGATTCTCAAAACTCTTTTATGTATAAAACTTTCTGTGATTAACCCACATCAATCTGTTCTTCTTTGCATACTTATGTCTTACGTGAACTATTAACTTTTATTTGTTGGTAAATTGCTTAGTAAATTTTACTCTTTTTATGTGTTTTATATCCTGTATACTCAGCCATTGGGCTCAAGCCTGCACCTTAGTTTGAGGACAAGGATTGTGTTTTCTGTTTCTTTTACATGTCTATACTGGCAAGGGGGCTGTGTATATAGGATGAAGATGAGGTTTGGGGTAACCACACAAATAGTGCTTGGTGCTGGTGATCCAGTGGGAGGTCCTTGCTGGTCTTTGAGGCCTGGTAAGCCTCACTTTAGGTGTTAGAGTTGTTAGTTGGGAGTTCTGGAAGAATTGTGTGCCCTCTGGATTCTTTTTTAAATTGAACCAATTAAAACGTGCTGAAGAAGCCTAACTTTAAAAATCTCCTGTGCTAAATCTAGTCTGGATCACAGCATTCTGGAAGTAAATGGGACTTTAGAGGCAATGAGGAACCTGAGTTCCTAAGAGCTCAGTTCTCTAAGAGGGGGAGTAACTTCACTCTAAGGATTCTACTGCTTAAATGAAAAAGACCACTTATTTCACTTAGAAAGTGAAGAGGGTTGCCAAAAGAGAGCAAGGCCAGACTTTGCTCTCATAAAGCCAGGGCACCTTTTATAATATAATTATCCCCTAATTTAGCCTATTCTTGTACTTACGTAGAATTTATGTAGTTTCAGATGTTTCATTTCATGTGGAGTAAAGGGAACTGAGGCCCAGAGAGGTTAAGTAACTTGCCCAAGGCTACACATTGGTCGGTAATATAGCTAGAACTAGGACTCAGGTTTCTAGATTCTCAACTCAGTTTTCTTTTTTTCCAGATCTATTTCTTTATTGGGAGACAGGGAGATAAGATGAAATGTTTTAGGGACACCTGTGAGACACCCTCCACCACCTACTTTCTTCACTAGGGTGAAATTCCTAGGAGTCACCTGTTTCATTACACTGGGGCAGGTTATGGGGCCCTTTTCCTATGTGTCTGGTGATTTGTAGTAATTGGGCTGAATCCTCAGCTCTCTGCACCTTTGCTGTATTTAGGGCATGGAGGAGAGAGAATTAGAAGGAGACTACAGCACATATACTTGGCTTTTACCTGTATGCTTTTGCCACGAATTGGTGACAGCATGCCCAGTTACTCTAAATGGGTTGGAGTGGTTGCTGTAACGTTTCTCTTCGTGTGTGTGCGTCTGTGTGTGTGTGTGTGTGTGTGTGTGTGTGTGTGAATGTGCATGGTTTGTACACCTGTACATGGGTTCAAGAAACCCTGAATAAGGGAGGATAAATGTTCAGGCTCTGTTAGAAACAATCTGTTTTTTAAAATTTATTTATTTTTCGCTGCATTGGGTCTTTGTTGCTGCACGTGGGCTTTCTCTAGTTGCAGCGAGTGGGGGCTACTCTTCGTTGCAGTGCACGGGCTTCTCATTGTGGTGGCTTCTCTTGTTGCGGAGCGCGGGCTCTAGGCACACGGGCTTCAGTAGTTGTGCCATGTGGGCTCAATAGTTGTGGCTTGTGGGCTCTAGAGCGCAGGCTTAGTAGTTGTGGCTCACGGGCTTAGTTGCTCCGCGGCATGTGGGATCTTCCCGGACCAGGGCTGGAACCCGTGTCCCCTGCATTGACAGGCGTATTCTTAACCACTGTACCACCAGGGAAGCCCAGAAACAATCTGTTTTGAATTCCTAGCTCTCTCTAGGGGTAGAACAGTGAAAACAACTGCAACAGTAAGTTAAAAGGGTATAGGAAGGGGTCTAATAAAGTTCTCACATTTTTATAATAATGCTGACCAGGAATATAGAGAGACATCCCAGTGTAACAGTGAGGAAGTATAGCAACGTAATTACCTGGTTTGGTTCTGGCCTGTTGGGAATGCAGTTTTCGGTTTGGGTTCAGGATGTTCAAATCAGGGAATTTGGCAGAACTCCTATAAGTCTAAAGGGACACCTCAGTGCTACTTTAGTTCAGCTCCCCAACTTGAGTAATACCTTCCAAGGCCTTTTCCTATTCCATAACTCAAGGAGAAGATCTAGGAAACTGTGCTTCCAGTGGATGTGGTCACTGGCTGTGACTCTTGAGGTCCCCGTGGTTTCGGTTTTATTAAGGCTTCTGTCCCTAGGGCAGTGAGCAGTTGAGTTCTTGTACTGCATCCCCCTTGAAATGATAACCCACCCCAGTGACAGCCCGACAGCAGTGTTGAGAGTCCCCGAGGGTAGAAGGAATAGTCAAGGAGCCTAGCCTGTCAGCTTGACTGTCTACTTAGGGGCAGGGCAAGACGAGGCAAGGAGCTAGATTCCAAGATTGTGTATAACCACTTCAACATTTGTTTCCCATAGATGACAAATAGGAAATGCCGTAATCAGAATCGAAATCTAAATTTCCCCTTAATTCTCGAGGCCACACCTCTGAAAGGATATAGTTATAGGAGGGTAGATAAAACAGGAGCATCTCCAAGCACATAAAGTGGAGGTTTCTATTTAGAAAGAACAATGCCCAGCATCTTTGCAGAGTTTTGTAAACCTTGACTTTATAGTAGGAACTTTGCAACTCCTAAGCCTGGCTGGTGGCTTCCCACACCCTCTGGCCATCTCTGCACCAACTGAGGCTGTTTCTTTGGGGAAGTTCTCTGCTGTTTCTTTTGGCGATGTAGGATCCCCTGAGACCCCATTATGATAACTTTTCAGAATTTGTATTCCCCCTTAAGATAACATTGTTAGCACTGTTTTAAAATGAAAGCACAGTGAAGCTATACAATACAGGCTCTCAGCCTGCTTTCTGCATTGCCCCATAGCAACAAGGGAGAAAAGGGTACTGTTTTAATTTTTGCCCCTTGCTCTAAAGTAACTGATTTTTTAAAATAATTAAATCTTGCAGAAATATGTAACGTAGATCAAAAGTATAATCTCAGCATCTAGATTTTTAAAATGTATACGCTACATATACCACTTTAAAAAAACAGTTTTTATAAAAATGGGACCATACCGTACAAAATGGGACCATACTATTTTTGCAGCTTGCATTTTTCAGTTTGAGAGGCAGTTTAGCACTGCAGTTAAAGGCTTGAGCTCTGGGGCCAGTCTGCCTGGGTTGGAATCTGTCTCCACCACCTGTTAGCTATATGATTTTGAAGAAGCTTTTTAACCTTTCTGCATCTGTTTTTCATCTGTAAAATGTGGATCATGGTAATGCCGACCTCACACAGAGTAACTCATAGAGTTATTTTAATAATTAGTTGAGTTAATATACGAGAAATGCTTAGAATTGTGGCTAGCATATAGAAATAATAAATATTGATTTAATTATTATTTAATCATATAAGTAAAACATGATCACTGTTTAAAAAAAAAATAAAAGAGGAGGAAAAGCTAAGAGCAAAACTGTGAGGGATTTCCCTGGTGGCAAAGTGGTTAAAAACCTGCCTGCCAGTGCAGGGGACACGGGTTCAAGCCCCGGTGCGGGAAGATCCCACATGCAGCAAAGCAGCTAAGCCCGTGCGCCACAGCTACTGAAGCCTGAGTGCGTAGAGCCCGTGCCGGTGCTCTGCAACAAAGAATAGCCCCCGCTCGCCACACCTAGAGAAAGGCTGCGCACAGCAATGAAGACCCAACGCAGTCAAAAATAAATAAATAAAATTAAAAAGAACAAAAAACAAACTGTGAGTGAAATTAAAAGTACTGATAGGGCTTCCCTGGTGGCGCAGTGGTTGAGAGTCCGCCTGCCGATGCAGGGGACACGGGTTCGTGCCCCGGTACGGCAAGATCCCACATGCCGCGGAGCGGCTGGGCCTGTGAGCCATGGCCACTGAGCCTGCGCGTCCGCAGCCTGTGCTCCGCAACGGAAGAGGCCGCAGCAGTGAGAGGCCCGCGTACCGCAAAAAATAAATAAAATAAATGTACTAAAATTCTACACTTAGAGACAGCTTCTCTAATATATATCCTTCTAGATGCTCTCCAATATAAGTGTGTACACACATAAAATTTTTTAACAAACATGGCACTATAGTATATATAATATGTATGTGTTATTTTACTTATATATAAGTAATGAATAAATTTAAAAATCTAAATAAATAAATATTAATAAAAGCAAATATATCTAAGTTATATTAATGCTACATTGTATCCCATTTTATGGATGTAAGGAATTATACTGGATATTTGTGTCATTTCTGATTTTTTTTTGCTATTATAAACAATGTTTAGATAAACAACTTAGTATATTGTTTTGTACACTTGTGTAATTATTTCCTTAGGCTAAGTTACTGGAATTAGGATTGCTAGGTAAAAGGTAAAAAAATATACTTTTTTTAGGGGCTTCCCTGGTGGCGCAGTGGTTGAGAGTCCGCCTGCCGATG